AATCCTTTTTCCTAATTTTAATCCTTTTAAACTATTATTACATAATTCACTTAGAAGATTTTTGTCTTGGTTGACAGTGTTGTTGAATGTCTGATATTTCCACAGCTGTGTTCAGTATTACTCCTTTGAGAAAAATGTTTGTCCTGTGGAAAAAAATAAGTCAGCTTTTATGTATTTTCCCTATGAGTTGCTATTATATGAAACGTTCCCATAGAGAAACATGGATTTACTCTAGTAATACTGCGTTCAAAGCCTGCAGTTTGCTGTATGTGTACTCTAATGCTACACATTTGGAATGAAAATTCTTTTTTCTGAATTCAGCAGAACTGCTTTAAAAGGCTTTGTAGAAAACAAAGTACATTATTTTATCTGGTCTTGATAACTCAGTACATGTTAATACAAATAAGCTGAATCAGAAGCTATGAATTATACAAATATTTGCATTCAGCAACTGAGCGGAGATCTGTATCCTGTACAAAGAATTAAACACAAATGAAATGAAAATTCCACCAGACCACAGTAATCATTTAGTCAGTGGCTGTGGGAAATTCCTTACATAACAGATGACTAAAGGAGAAATTCAGAGTAAGGTAAAAGTTTTTTAAGATGAACATTTTAAATAACACAACTGTTAATGCTTGAATTTACTTTGGTTCATAAATCCATGACAAAAAATTCCATTTAATGAAGAGTCAGGATGGCTCAAAAAGACTAGAAGAATATTGCTTTGGGGAATTCACTCAGCTCTTGAGTATTTAGTCACTTCTTGTGGAAGTTATACTTGGCACAGCCATAGGATTGGGTTTGAAGCACAAGGCAAGTTCGTTGTCTTTTAGCATTAATAGGAAAAGAGGATAGCTAAATCCTTTTAAATCCCAAACACAACCTTTTTTTTTTTGAGTCCGGTATAGCTGTCGTTGGATGTTACAGTAATTAACTAACTGCCTTGACCCTAATACCCAGCATATTTCTGTGTATTTTTGCCCCCCTGTAGGAAAGAAAAAGCTGCTGCAATCTGAGGAGGAGATAAGATCTAACCTTTTTTCTCTGCCAGTTGTACACAACAAAACTTGCCCAAGCTGACAAAATGACAAATTCTAAATACAGATCTTTGAAATTAATGTGCTAGGTAAACCTCACTAGGCTGACAACATGAAAATAAGTAAAAATGACTTCTAGTCACAAAGACAGTGAGTGGGGTTGAGGGAGTATCCTTCTGAATTCCCAGGTATGGGTATCGATGAAAGACAGATCTGTGGAAGGAGAGGTCAAACTTCTAGGTTTAGGGAGTGACTAGAACCGAATGATTCCTGTAAGCCGTGGGGACTTGTACTTAAAAAAGGACATTACAAGGCTTCTCTACTCTGCTGCTGGGTAATGACAAGAGGTAAAGCAGTCATCAGTGTTCTAGCCTACCTCACTGGTCAAATGAGATTCCCCTTCCATCATTTATATCTTGGAGTATCCTAGGAAGCTCAGGCCTGTGATGCCTAATTCATTGGTGGGAATTTACAGGGTAGACATGACTGCTGAGAAGGGGCACTTATGCATTGTTCAAAGAAACGTCAAAGCAATGACTAGACTGTGTATTGGTAAACTTTATAAACTGTGTTCACAGGCTGATAATGGCAACGTGCAAAACCATGTTCAGCAGCAATTAGACAAGGCTATCTATAAAGTATACAGTGAGAAAACAGCTGTACTGGATCAGATCAGAGTCCATCTAGTCCAGCCTCTTTCACAATGACCAAAAATAGTCCCACAAAAAAGGGTATTGCAGTTCATGATGTTGCTTTGCTTTTAGTTTCCTTGAAACAAATTAAACCTGTGGTTTTAAGATAACTAAGTTTCATTTATTTCTGAGATTCACCCTGAGACAGTTTGGTTTTCTTCTGCTATTTGTGATCAAAACATTATATTTTTATTTCAAGTTTTAAATTAAAAGTACATTCATTCATTGAAAAAGTTGATACCATAATACTAACACGTCTGTTGGTTTAGTTTTGCTTTACTGTCTGGTGTATTTCAGTATCAGAAGTGGATGATAATTTGCTTGACCAAAAATGTTTTATGTCGTATTCATCCAAGTAAGTTCTTTTAGGTGCGCACAATGGTATCTGAATGTTTTCCCAAAGGTAGTAGAATGATGTAATAATGTTACAACTTGTTCATCTTGCATCCTACATAACAGGAAATGTTTTTGAAATGTATGTTTGATATCCTCTCTGCTTCTTGAGCTGGAAAGGAGCAAACAGTGCTAAGTCTTATGGCTTTATCCTTATGATGTTTTAATGTGGAACAATGTGTCTTTAAGCAAGGTTCTTTAAATGTGTAATGACACTTGGACATAAGTAACGTCAAAGGAATGTATTTCCATTGATTTTCACCATAGTACTTGTAATAAAATTATTAAAATAACTCTTGCTAGCATTTGAATATGCTGCTTGATGCCTGAATTAGTATAAAACTTTTCGGAGAATATGTTAGTTTATTAGAAAATTAAAAAGCTAAATGCATTGTGATCAAACGATTATTCCAGATTTCTTTATGTGGAAAAGGAGATCTGTTTAATACATCTCAAATTTTTGTAGTTGACGTCTTCACTACTTTTAGATGGAAAATGTGTTCCAACATTTTTCCACAATATTTGGGCCTTGCAACTATACAGAAGTTGTTGACATCATTAAACCAGATCTCTTATTCCACATCTGCTGTTTTTTCCCCGTTTTAAATGGTTTACAGTGTGCCAAGAGAAATAAAATCAAAGCCTTTTCCCTTGAAATAGAATTTTTGGATTTAATGGTAACTAGCTGTAATAGAAGGGTAATGTTACTAAATAAAGAGTAACAGCAGGGATCTCTCTCTTTTGTTCATCAGAAAACAGTAATGTATGTCTTTCAAATGAGTCGATCATATTATGATTAACTAGCCTTTTTGGATAGGTGCTCGTGACTTTTGTCACTCTTCAAGAAGACAGTACTACTAGTGTGCAGGTTTTACTCCAGATGAGGCATGGGAACATGTCCAATTGCTCTGTTCTGGTCCACTGTATCTTTAAATATTTCCTGCACAGCAGCTCTAAAAGTAGATCTCTTTAAAAATATGCACTCTCTCCAGAGTAATCTTTATCTCTGTGCTTAGGACTTTCTTTCTACAAGAAGGTGGTCATAGTATGCTTCTGAACCCGCTTTAAGCAGTGACTTGAACTGAATATGCATTTTCTGAAACTGGATAAATAATTCTAGCAATGAGTGGTTGTATAACAATTGTAACAAATGTTAATACTGCATGTTCATTGTTGCTTTCTTCATTTTAAATAGGAGAAATGACCTTTAGGTGGTTGTTTCAGAATAATTAAATAAATAAATCTGAAGAGGATATAGGCAGTTCCCTGCATTGTTAGGTGCCTGCACCTTCAAACGAGTAGTGATTTTCATGAGTTACTTTAGGAAGCTTCCAGTTTCCAGAGCACCGGATCTTGTGCAGCTCTTACAAAATTTAAAATTTGCAGGCTTAATTGTTTTCTAAAAACTGCTTTATGAAGAAAGTCATCATGTTTATAGTGTAAAATTGTTTTGGTAATACTTTCTCATATCGCTAATACTTTACTCTGTGTAATCTTGTGTTCTCTGAAAATTGTATACATGAGAACGTAAACACAGTACTTCATGTTTTTCCATGAGAGTTTCAAGGAGTTAGCATTGGTATTACAGTGCAAGAGAAGGGACCATCTGTTTGTTTTGTTGCCATAATACAGCAGTTTAAAAAGTTGTCACTTTGACATGTTAAAAGTGGAAAAGGGTGTGTACTGTGAGCTCTACGTTTTTGGGGACTCAAAGGTTCTGACAGCCTCGACACAAGGAAGCAATAGAAGTGATCCCCTTTTATATAAAGGGAGATGTTTGATGCCTCTTTCTTCTGAATCTTTTTTTTAAGAGAAAGTGTTTGTATCTTATCTTAGGGGAAAATTATTGCCTCTAATCATTCCTTCAAATTCAAAAAGCCACCCTAGCTTCCATGATACAAACATTATTTTGTTGGATACTTTTGCAGTTTTCATCCTGAGATGACGTGTATGTCTCTCTGCACAAAACAACAGTACGGGTGGATCCTCAAAGTTCTGTTGTCATTTAACTGGTGAAAAGATCCTCATCAGTAAAAACATGCAAATTTCAACACCTTTTCTATTAATAGGTTGGTACCTACAAGATGTTTTTTGTTACGGAGATATAGCAACACGCGTAATGTCTGTGAGCTGATAGTGGGGACCTACCTGAAGGATTTAGCAGGCCTTGGCCAAATTCTTACCTGTGGTGTATGAGCCAACAATGCACAACATGGCTTAGAAATATAGCAAATATTCCTCTCATATCACAAAGCATTAATTATTACTGATATTGTATCTTAAATTTTGATATTCTAGGTTTCCTACTGACTTTAAAATACCTTACCCTCTTCGTTTCAACATCTACATTACATCTTTGCATTCAGTTATATTTTACCTTACGTTTGTCTGTGGCTAGGTTACTTTAGGTTTTAACCCTACTAAGGAATATTGTCTCTGAAATTTTTTTTTTCTTTAAAAAGGAACTAGTGGGACATCACTTTGAGGTCTTAACAACTTACAACTTGTTCCCTCTTGAATTTATCTGTGAATACAGATTGCCATTGCACCCAAGCTGAACGTCTTGAAAAAGATTCTGTTTGAATGAAAAGAATTGCACATAGGATCATCTCCTTGTTCCTTTTCAGAGCATCATGTCTGAAGTAGGAGCTGGTAATGGCAGTGTAATTTTGTTTTTCTTTTACAACAGTACACAAGAAAATATATTACTCTGTTTAACAAACTGATGGCCACATAACATTTTTCATATTCTTTGCATAATTCATAGTTGTCATGCTAGCCTTCATGTTTGAAATTATTAATAGTAGCAGCTGATTAATGAGAGTTCCACACAGTGTTTTACTTAAATTTATTTTAAGAATACATAAAATGTAGTAATACAGAAGCTTGTTTACCTGGAAATCCTCCCTTGAGTCAGTCTGTACATTCAAAACACTTAGTACAGTCGCATTTCTGAAAGCACTGCTCAGCAGTGCTGCAGGAGTAAGTCTGAAGTTAGTTAGCAATAAACTAAAAGCATCTCTTTAATAACTTAGCTCTTTTTACTCTGTCAAAAAAGTAGTTGGGATCTTAATGGTGTTTAACAGACGGAGATATATTAGCCAAAATTATAGAGAAGAAATGATTCAAATGTTGTGAATGGACAAACAGTGAAATCAAACCATCTAAAACAGAATGTCGTATGTCTAAACTCAGCCTCTTGATTTGACCATTCTTCACCAAATTTACAGAATCATTACTGTATGTTTTATGACCGTATTTTACCAAACAAAATATCCAAAGCGATCTTTTTACAGAAGTCCACGTACCTCAGGATTTTTTCTTACAAGAAATGCATTATATTTTGACTTACTGCAGATAAAGTACCATTGTACCTTACAGGTAATAGTTTATTTGAGTAAGAGAGACTTTGACATAGAACAGTGGAATTGTGATTTTATGGTGATTGTCTACTTTCAGAGAAAACAGAATTCAGCTGTTGCATCGCTGTGTGTTGTCCATTATACTGTGCTGAAAATTTTTTCGTCTTTCATGGTTATATGTTGTCTGAACAGTATGTTTGTGCTGATTATATGACATAGTTGTTGGCAGTACATGGGGCTATGTGGAAAATGCATCATGAAACCTTCAATTTCAGAGTGAGGGCAACAAAATTATGGTTGAGTAGTTGATAGGTATCATTGGAGGGTTTTATGGTGTGCAGTTGATTATAGCACTTAAAAAGTCAATCCCTGTATTGAGCCATTTCATCCTTTGTTCCCATCCGTTCTGAAGAAGAAATGATTAGGCAGTGTACCTCCTGGAGAAAACAGTAAATTCTTTTATACATCACAGAAAGTTAGGAAAAAGTGGAAAGTAATTGTCTGAAAAATTAATTGCCAGTCATCTGTAATCATTTCCTACTCTTATGAGAAAGTACTATAGAATTTAATAAATATGAAATATATTAGAATGACTTTCATTTTTTATTGAGATTATTCTCTAAAAGAAAAATACTAACTAGGAAACTAAGTCCTCCTATTTTCTAAATGATTTTAGAGAAAGAATGCAACATTAAGATCAATGGGGGAAATGCCAGTAATACAGAAAGCTTATAGGTTTCATTTTTACTAGACTCCAGCTTCCTCCGAAGTGGAATATTAAAAATGTTTTTTTCATCTGAGCTCAGGTATTTTTAAAATATTTTCAAATGACTGAATGCCATTCTAGAGAACTGGAGTTTGATTTGAGCCATTAACATCAAATACGTGACTGAAACTGTTTTATAAATATAGCCTCTGCAGTGGTGATTTATGACTATCTAGAAACTTTCAGATGTCCACTAACAGCTGTAAGAGGGAATTAAAATAGGCAATGTGATCCTGTTGATATCTTACACAATATAAACATTTGAGCATGCTATAAATTGTACATGTGAATGGGGCCTACCACTCTCTCTGTTTAAAAATTATTTCAAACATAGTGTGGTTTGTTTGTTTTGGAAAGCTGACTGAAAATGTCTAGTGTTTCAGCGCAGAATCTGAAGAGCTAGCGGAATTAATTTCTGTCTGGATGCATTTTTTAAACATTTTTTCCTTAAAATTTTCATTGGAAGAGAATTTATCACTGCAAGATTTTTGGTAGTAAAGTTTCTCCAGTACCATCCATTTTTTAATACATTTGATTGTACTATCAGAATATTTATGGTTTGAAGTCTTTTATATGTATCATTTTAAAATATGTTATCATTTTGAAGTGTTTTAAATTCAGAAAATCAAAATAGACAGGACCAAGTTGAGTGTTTAGTTATATTCTTCTTTTCTGAAGTCTCACCCTGTAAAGGTGTAACTGGGGGCACAGTTTGATACATTGTACTTAGATATTAAATTACAGTTTATGGGATAGTCTTGAGCTCATATTTTGTTGTTTAATGTTTGTATAATGAAACTGTATTGGGAAATAGAGTACTAACTTTGTTAAATAATATACTGTATCTTATTTATAGTAGTAAGAAGGGTTTAAATCAGAAATAAGAGCCGTTAGTAACAGAATAAGTAAAGCTAATTTTTTAGAGATAGGGCTTTCAGTGCAAAATGTGGGTGTTTATTTGATCTTCTGTGGCTTAAGAACAACACTGCAATAAGATCTTATGCACGAAAACGCATGTGGTGATAACTGTCTTGTATTGATGTAGTTGTTTTCAAGATGAACGTGTTCCAAACGTGAATCTCCATCTTCCTCCTCTTCACTGTTGTCATTATCATCACTGGCATGAGTCCTGCAGATGCGTTCTGGAGGGACTGTCCTGTGATATTGTAGGAGGAATGTTATTTTAGTTGCTAAAAATAACTCACAACTTCAGTTTATTGCACAGATGCTGTCTATTAAGAGATGTCAAAGCGTTAAATTAATCAGCAAATTGATTTTTCTAAGTAATATATTTATTGAAGACATTTATGTTACTCTTTTTTAATGTCTCTCCTTGCATTGTTTTCTCACTCATATACTTAGTATTTCTGAGGAAAATACTGGCCAGTAAAAAAAATTCTTCTATATGACATACATAAGATCCATCGTTTGTGATTTCTTTGCTTTGTCAACAGTGCAAATCAAATAGAGAAATAGCCTAACTTAGCAGCTCTGACATGTTTTGATCACCTTGTTTCTCTGCACAGCGTTTGCAACGGTGATGAAAAGCGTGATACTAAAATATGTTTGTCTCAAGTGATTGCGGCTGGCTGAAAAGTTCTGAAAAGACTCTTTCAGTGGTCGTAAGCAGCCGAAGACTCTTGTCAGTTTTTTGAAACCAATATGGTCTTTGGTCCAACAGCAGGAAAAGCTAGTACTTTGCTGTGACTGTCAAATTGTAGCTGACAATGGGTATGTGGCCCAAGCTGTATTACAGATTAATTTTCTGGAGAGAACTGGTACTCAGCAGCTTGAAGAACTATGAGGGAGGGTGAAATCACGCTTTTCTCCTGTCAGAGAAAATACTGTCGCAGAAAACTCAAGATTTAGTTCCTCCTTTAGTTCCTCCACTTAAAAGTAAGCAGTTCTTAAAAGAAAGCGTATCTTTTGTTACATTTATTTTAATACCATCAATTTAATAAAGAGCTTGTAGTTACCTTATTTTATTGTTGTTAAGCCTTAGAAAACGTAATTTTTTCATTTCTTCAATTCCAAACGGCACAGACTTTAATTCATTGTGATCCAGAAACAACTCTCTCAGAGAGTGATACGCTCCAAAAAACGATACGGGATCTATTCCATCATCGTTAAGTTTGTTAAAGGACAGGTAGAGATATTCCAGTCCGGGCTTCATATGACCAAAGACATATCCTGGAATTCTTTCAATCTGGTTTCCTATAAGTATCAGGTGTAGTAAAGATTTTGGCAGATAGGAGGGAACATGATATAACTTATTATAAGAGAGATCAATTGATTCCAAGTTCCTGCATTAAAGGAGGAAAAAAATGGGATGAAAACAATACAATACACTGCATTGTTAATGCTACATATTCTGTACGAAGTTAACACTTGACAAGGAAAGTAATTTTCTAAGGGAAATTTTTTTCTGTTAGTGGAAGAGAATGCATTTGATGGAACATGGTCAGATATAATTACCCTGAGAATAGAAAGGATTGAAGTAATTAATTATCAATCAAGCATCATGACTTCTGCTGAAGGGGAGAAATCTACTGATATGAGTAGAGAGATAGGGTTGAATAAAGAGGAAACCTAAGGGACTAATTTATTATTGATAAGCACTGCCGAATTGTAATAGTTATACTAGAAAGCATAAAGTAAGCTTGAGACTGAATTGTTTATCTCGTTGACATGGATTTTTAATTTTTTTTCTAAAGCCTATTTGAAACTGAATTGCTCTTAGGAATGACTCTGAAGTAGCCATTCCCATGTGCTTTGCTTCCAGAGATGAGAGAAGCCATTAGTAACAATGTGGTTATTTTCAGTTCAAATAGTTTCCAAACCCAGAAATCGACAGGCCTGCAACTGTAGGCTGTGGCAAGGTACCCTGTGCAGCTTGGCAAGTAACTCGAGTATTGCGTATGCTTTAAATGGTGAAATTTTAGAGAACTGGTTACCTTTGTATGAAAGAAGAGGGATTTGGGCTGTACTCTTATTTTAGTCAGAAGTTACTCATAACTTCAGTTCAGAGTTGTCCTGTTGTTTCTGCAGCATGACCCACTTCTAAATTTCAACTATCGAAGATTCAAATGGCTGGTGATGGACTTGTGTTCGTAATCTTATGCAACCCAGAAAACTTTTTTGTTCCTATTGTGATGCACGTAACAGAATCGGAGTGTAAACTACCTTTGTCAAACTGTTTAGCCTATGTCACCAGTGCTATTTCTAAAGCTCCAAAATAATAATTGGTAGATGAGATGAGCAGTATGTTGGGCGACCCTGTTTTAGATCAACGTTTTGTTACTCTGATGTGGTCAGCATTAGGTGTGGGTTTACCAGAAGAATTAAAAGCAGTATAGTCTTTTCCTCCTTTCATTTGCATTGCCTGCTCTGCATATATTCTGTTCTTAGATGATGGGGCTGCACAGTCTTCCCTTCAGCTTATTTGCTTATGTAATTACTGATCTGATGGAAAATAAGGCTAGATAAATATTCAATTATTTTTAAATTATGTTTGAGATAATTTATTAATACCAAAACATCAATTAGTTGAATGGAATATTATCAATAATTAATGCTCTTTTTTGACTGGTTGGTCAGAAGTACTTAGACAATCTTAAAGTGGCATAGATTTGAGCTGTATCGCTGTTTTAAAGCTGACTCAATATTTCCTAGATTATGCAAGCTAAGCAAAGGAAATTAGGAAAAATTAGTTAAGGAAAACCAGCAAATTAAAGATGGCCAGGATTTTGTTCAAATTAAAGATAATAAAGTACAAATGTTTATTTTATTAGCTTATTAATAATAGAGAAAAAATAATATGTCTTAAATGATTGATACTTACTCTTGGTTTATCCAAGCCAAAGGTGCTATTCTGTTTTCTTCTAATTTGTTGTGCTTTAGCACAATGACGTTTATGTTTCTTGTATGGTTAAAGCAAATTTCTGACACTTCTTCAATTTGGTTATTTTCAAGGTATAACTCCTACAAGTGGAAAGAAAATTTGTGAAAGCAAAATATACTATTTTCCCTGTTGCAAAATAAACATATCGTTATTAGCTGTCTTCCATGTTACATGGTAAAACTGTTAATTTCTAGATGAAGAAGTAATACTCTGAATCAGAGGCAGTTTGTAGATGTAGTATGACTTTCAGAAACACCATTTTCCAAAGTAATTGGTTTATTTTCTCATTTGTTAAAATGTAGATTGCTTTGAACGACCTTTTTTTTTTGCCTAAAGTTGTACAGAGTAAGAATGGAATATGTTGTGAGAGTGATCAGATTGACAAGAAGAATTTAAATGTTTTTTTCAGCTTGAAAAGCTATAAATCAAAAATATTTTAAGTTTTATTTTCTTAATGTTTTTGCTGGGCCCTTGTGAGCTTTGACCGTCGCAAATTTGAAGGGAAATATAATATTAATGGTTTACAAAACAGTGCTAAGTATCTTCAAAGTGTAACAGCTATACGTTTTACAAAATTATAGATTAAGATTTTGAGCATGGCTTGCCATCTAGGATAAACCTGACACAAAATAAAAATAGGGCAACAACTGAAGTATGTGGAGAATCTAAAACAGCATTGAAGACCTGCAGAAGTCATCTTTGGGAAAGGAGAAAAGGAACTACTTAGCTCAAAAATTGTTGTCTGTAATTTTATTAGATGTTAGTTTAAAATTAAATGTTTCCAATGCATATGAGCTGTAGAGAAACTTGGCAGGTATTCCTTGTTTCATCAGAGAGGGATGAAGTCAAAAGTGGAAAAAGAAGAACGTAGAGTATGAGTGAACGGTCACTGGCAAATAGTACGCTGAAGAAAAGTTACTAGCTGTAGGTGCAGAAGCTGATGTTACAGAAGAGATATTGTTAGGTTTGCTTGATTTGATTTTACTTTTTTTCCTCGCATTTCAGACTATAGAAGATCCCAAGGAAGGGAATAAAAGGAAATAATGCAAGGACAATGCAATGAGAAAGAGCATTAGGAAAGATAGAACTGAGAGAGCGAGTGAAATTAATAGTTAGCAAGAGTTATTTTTGAAGCAAAGACTGAGGTGAACAGAGACTGAAACAAGGCACAGATTGAGAAGGAGGAGGCAAGTAGCTTCCCGGTGGTGTCCTTAAAAACCCCCAACAAAATAAAGCCCGAATTCTGGGCAGAGGAATAGGATGGGAGACTACCAGAAGGAGAAATTATCTGATTCAAAATTGAAGGATGAGGGAATTGTCAGGGAAGAGCAATAAGAAGCGTGCTCAAAAATAACCCCAGAAATGAGGAAAAATGCAGCAAAGGTTCAGAACACCACTAAGATTGAACCCAGCCAAAAAGGAAGAGGATAGCTAGAAATAGGCATTAGAAGAGGATTCCTTGGACTGAAATGAGGTGTGGAATTGAATAGAAGTGGCTGAGAACAGCAGATATCTTAGACAAGTCAGTGGTCCAGAGGAAAAAAACCAAAACAAACAAACTTAATAGTAATATTGTAAATTAATTTTTAGTATACTAAAAGAACAGATAAGTGACATGCATCTTCAAAAACTCCTCTTCGTCTTCCTGTTCCCATAGCAGGGTTACTTGTAATGACGTTATTCCTGGGAGAGGTTTATTTAATGTATTTCTAAAAAACAATTGTCTAGTCAATGGATATAGGGATGCATTTATTCCTATGTGCAATTTTCTTTATTCAGAACTTTCCACGTATTTAAAAATGCTGCGAGTATTTCCTTAAATTCTCTCTTCTCCGGACTAGAAAATCTTAGTTCCTGCAGTCTCTCCTTGTGAGTCGTGTTTTCTAGATCTCTGATTCTTCTTGCTTGCTTGTGAAATTTACTTAGTGTGGTAATCCAAAATGGACAGAGCACTTTGCACTAAGTCGTTATCTGTATTGAGTGTGTTATGTGAATGATATGTAACTGAACAGACAGTGTTTTACAGTTTTACTAAATTTCCTTGCAGGCTATATAATTTTGTGAATGTCTGCTAGAGAAATTCAGTCTTAGAATACATCTGGGATGGAGCTGATATATAAGTAAATTTCTAGAAGTAATAATTTAGTAATAATAATTAGTATATCTAGAAACAAATTTATAAAATATAAATTTACCATCTCCATCTGGTGATAGTAAGGCAATAAATAGAAAAAATTATGATAATATCTCTGGAAAAATAAAGCTTACTTTTTTCTCTCTCTCTTATCCCCCCCCTGCTCTTTTTTATTTTTTATTTTTATTTTTTATTTTTTTTACCTCAATTGACGTGGGAAGGCCTTGTGGGATAATTCTAAACTTATTTCTCCCCAGGCGCAAATAAGAGAGACTTTTCAAAGGGTAGAAGGCCAAAGGACTGACGTTTGCTTCGCTAAGCTGATTTCCTTCTAATTCCAAGGTGACCAAGTTCTTTAAATCTGAGGAGAAAAAGTTGGAATTTCTATTAGTTAATGCTGTCTCATATCTTATTAAAATACATCGCATGTTTAAAATTTAACGATTTTAAACATAACAAAATTCTCTTCACAGCAATGAAAAAATGTTTTCCTAAATGAATTTTAATTTGTAATACCATAGTCATAGAGTTACATTAATTATTAGTTAGTAGAATTTTAGAGATTTATAGAGGGTTGTTCTTTATAACTTTCTCTCCCACTCAGAATGGGAAAGAAGGCAGCTATAAGAATGGTGAATAGCGCTACCTTTAGGCCTTATTACTTAATGGTTGAGGGTAGATGATGTTTGGAGTAGTGTGTGGGTGCTGATCTCTGCGCAGATGCCCTGTGATCTCCACAAGTCTCCAGTCACTTATGTGAGAATGAGTATGTTCCTCTTCCTTTGGGCTCATATCTTCCTGTCCTTGCTCTATTCCTTTCAACCCCTTTTTGTACCAAGTGGTGAGAACCCTTCATAGATTGTACTGTTCCTCCTCCCTGGGGAATAGATCATGTTGTTTTCAGCCGTTCAAGTATAGGTCAAAGAACCCAGCGTTGGCCAATGTATGTAAGCGAGAAATATTGTTTCATAATAAAAGATTCCTTATTCACAAATAATCCAAGTAACTGTTTCTGTTTTTACAGAAGCTTTGCATGACTCCTCCTAAGAATGTAGTTTGATCATTTAAATCTAACAGGCTCTCATTGCCCCTTAGCCTGCATTTTCTTTGCCTTAGCTCAAGCATTTGCACTGCTCCATAGTAAGCTGTATCACTAAACTGATCCAGTTGCCATAGGGACCCTTCTGGCAGATTAGAAAACAGAGTAGACGAGTGCAGTCAAATTAGGAAGTGGTTTAATAAGATTATGGTTTAGTCTAACTATATTCTGCTTTAATTTTCAGGGATGTTACACTGACTTATTACATATTCACTTTTTTTTTTGCATACACTTATGTAATTTCGAAATATTGAATATAGTTTCGCTGCACATGAAGCAATCAGGGTATGGTGTAGAAGCGTTATCAACACACTTCAAATCTGGTTCTACTTAGCAACATTAAATATGAGCTTCATCGAGAGACTTGAAGTTACATGAACAAGGAAAATGCGATTAAAAAAAAAATCAGTCAAATGTATTTTAATCTTTTGATATGATCGCTATTACTTTCTTAAATACCTTGTAAGGTGTCTTCATCAATGGCATGAAGGTGGTTATCATTTATTTTTATTTCTTCCAAAGTTGATGGTAATTCAGAGGGAATATGTACCAGCATATTTCCATCCAAATACAAGCGTTTTAGCTTTTTCAGGATCTTAATTATAGGGAAGAAGAGGAGAAATCAGATTACCAGAGTGTAAAATATATGAGTAGACATATAGTGTGGCCATTGCAATCATTTTTTTAAACATACTGATTTTGAGGATGCTGCATTTTCAGCAGCAATGCAGTAGTATCTCGTGTTTTAAATATGTTTTTCACCTATCAATCTAATTATTGGTTTATATTAACTATTAACAAAGTTGCCAGTTATGATAATGTGTTTTGTGATGTGATATTTCTTCTGAAGAGCTTGACTGAACACATCAACTTTTCACGGGCTCCGTCCTGCAGCTTTTCTGATCAGAAGTATCTGTATTTCTTCTCCTATCTTTGACTGATGTATGTATTCACTTACTTTGTTTATTTTTTATCTTTATGCAATATTTAGGAGCTCTAAACACATGTATTTATAGGGTTTTTTTGTATTATGCATTTACTCTATACTCTTCATTTGTTAGCAAAATGATGGGTTTCTATAGGTCAGCAAATTTAAACTTAAGCATAAAGGCAGCAGTTTTTTCAGTGATCAGGGGTTCTTATGACTTCAGTCTGCCAAAAAAATTCACATGAAAAATGTTCTTAGCTTAATTTTGATAGGCATGCATCACTAATTATGCAGTAGTGAGCGCTTCTTGGGAAGTTACTTTAATTAATCAGTTGTTTTAGTGCTGGAGCCACTGAAGCCTGCTTTCCTCCAGGCTTGTTTTGATTACCTGCTGGTGGTGGTAAGTCACACTGAAATTTAATTCATAATTGAGATACCTTTCTAGTCTGCTTTTTCCATGCAGTCTGATTTCATAAAATTTGTAGGAACCTAATTCCTCTATTAAACCTGTTTAAAATCTGCTAAAGTTATTTGAGTTATGTGGAGGGGAGGGGAATATAGAGAGACCTACAAGAAGTCTGATTGCATAGGGCAGGGAACAGAATTAAACACGTGCTATGATAATTCTATTTGTTGTTCATATGTTTTTGTATTCATCTTGCCTGAGAAAGCTAGATCTTGATGCCTTACTTCCATATTTGAATTAGGGCTTGTATGTTCTTGTTTGCATCATACAGAAATTATTAGGGGACTATGCTGACTTCAGGTGAGAAATGTGTAGAAGCAATCAAATATGGTGCTACCATATAAATTCCTCTTACAAGACTAAAAGCAGAATATAGAAGGAATCTTGGAACATTCTGTGAGGTAATGGCTGTTCTTTCAGTAAGCATCTGTGCTTGAAAGTTTTTCATTAAAGATAGTCAGGAATAAGCATACAACTGATGTGGTGAACTACTGTTGCATTCAGTATTCAGTGCTATTTGATGAAGTTATGTGCTAGATGGTGGTATTTTTTGAAAATGAAAATATTGTAAGCCACAAAAATGGTTTAGATTAATTTTAATTAAGAGTGCAATGACACTCAACTGTTACTAGTAGAATTTTATAGCTACACCTGTCATTAGGGATCATTTTTAGATAACGAAAGCATAAGATCTTTTTGTCTAAACAAATGCTTTATGGAATTAGTGTAGTGAGATAAAAAATAAATTTATAACTCTTGGACATGAATATCCAAGGTGTTATTAATTAAATACAAACCCTTCTATTCTGAAGTCTCTAAACTGCAACTGATAATATATCAGCACAAAATTGTTTCTCGTATATAATTTTTTAGCAGTCGATACTTAGTGAATGTCATTCAAATGCCTCCAGGGGTTACTCGTAGTAGGTGCAAAATGTTTTAGATCCAGTGACTGAAAATCTGTCTCACGGTTATGGAAAAACTGTATTGCAAGCAAAAATTAGTCATAGGATAGTAGATAAAATAGACTTTCTTACTTTGAATGCTTGTGGACCTATGCCAGGAGAGGTAATATTATTCTTACTCAGGTCAATCCATTCCAAATTGGGTATCCCATTGAATGCTTCATCTGAGATGGTAGTGATAATATTTCCTAGGATAAAATTCAGGAAAATAGTTTGAATGATAAATTACAGTATGTATCTGCGTTGTGTAGTACTGTACATGAAAAAATATATAATGGGAATAGTTGTATTATAAATAGTAATTGTGTGAAGATACAGTCATGTTTATTGTCTTTCAGACTTAGCTATAAAATTCATTCTAATGCATTTCTGTGATAAGAAACTATATTGTGTTAATGCTGATGTTGACTGGATTTGAGAAGGGATAATGTTAATTGATGAGAAAAAATAATGTAACGTAGATCCATTGCTTACCTGTAAGGTCTAGACTTGTTAAATCTGGATCTGCAATTGGTGGTATTTGTGTAAGTTTGGCATTAATACAGCTTACTGTGGAGTCCAGCATGGAACATCCGGATGGCAAAGAAGTTTCTATGGGTGGAACAGGAATTGGGAAATGAGGTGGCACTCTGAAAGCATTTCCTCTTAAACTGTCATCTTCTTCGTAGCTTTCATATTGTAGTTCTTGTTCCTCAACTCTCTCTCTCATTCTTTCTTTTTCCATTTTATTTATTTCTTCTTTTTCAGCTTGTAGTTCTTTCTCTTCATATGATAGTCTTCTTTCTTCATCCTTTCTTGTGATAGGCTTCTCTTCTTTGCGATAAGCCTTTTTTCGACTTTTTTTGCCTTTTCTTTTTCTTTTCCCTTCCTTCGTTCTAAGAATCTCTTTCTCTTTCGACTCTACTCCTTCTGTTCTAATCAGTTCACCCTTTTCACCTTGGGTATGTGCTGATGACCGTGTAACGGGATCACCAGGGTCATTGGGTTCTGGAGAATCACCAGACAACTCAGTTAGGTCGTCCATTGAAATAGTACTTGGATCCAAAGAAGAGGCTGTCCAGGATAATGAGAACAAGAAAAATCGTCTGATAAGAGGATAGGAACTGGACTTAGTTTTAGTAAACGTTATTCCCTTTATATATTAAAATTCTATAACTATAGAAGAACAATATTCCCCTTAGAATATGATTTCAAGGAATGAAAGCATGGCCTTATATTACTGCTCAGCAGAAAATCGAGCCTTTGAATGACTGATGAATGATTGAGCCAACTATGTAGCCATGATTCATGTAGCCTTCACTGATCTTCCTTTTTGAACTAATGCATTAGTTAGGTTTCCATGTTAATGCAGGGATCCAAAGAGGAAAAAGAATGTGTCTGGAAGCGGGAGGAAGGTAATTCAAATAAAATTCACGCAGGCTAAGACTTGCACTCCAGTGCAAAGGACTATCAGTTGCATAGATGGCTCTAGGTGGAGAGCTAAGCAGGGTAATGTGTTGAGTCAATTACCAAAGTGCGTTTTTTACTCAGGTAACAGGGCAACTCAAATAAAAGGAATTTAATTTTTTGATCAACATGGCTATTAGTTCTACAGCTAATTTCTATCTTGTCTCTGCTCAGTGCATTTGTCTTGTTCTCTAGCGCTTGCTCACTGAGGTCCACTAATTTGCAGGCTTAAGATTGGGAGCAGGGGAAGGAAATCACATTTCCTCTTCATCTCCTCATGAATTCCTTTTCTTTTTAGATGTACTCTTTTTGTTTACATTTTTATGAAGCACAGCATGGTTGTATTTCTGTTGTTCATATTCCGAATGTACTGTTTCTCTTCTCTTGTTTGATATCAAATAGGCGCATGTGTGTTTATGCTCTCAAGAAAATGTCCTTATATAAAAGATTTACTAGTCTATAAACTATATTATTTGCATGTCTAATACATTAATAAAGGCTATTAATTATTTATTGATCCTGTATACATTAACGTTGGATATAAAATGTAACCAGTTGTTATTTCTTGGTATGGTTCCTGTAAGTAGGATTTTGTAAAGGTGGGAGGGAAAAAAGCAGAAAAGAAAAAAACAAATATATATGTATAGAAACACAACATTATTTTTCCTATTACAGACTTACTTAGCATCTTTTTTGTTTACATATTAACTCAAACTAATCTAACAGCGAGGATTCTCTGAGAAAATGAAGTCAACTTTTGTTGACATTTTGAGGAACAAGGATATCTCACTGCTCTTATCACATATTTCAGGACTTGTTTTCCCTATAAAAGGGTAGTATCTATCTTGTAATACTAGATACTACTTAAATGTAGCTTTTACATAACTTTTTGTGTGAGGCAGTTTTTAGAATAGTGAAAAAAATTACAAGGTACTGTACCAATATCAGAACAAACCGGGCAGCATTCTCCTGCAGGTATAATAGTGTTGTGACATTTCAGAGGATGGCACATGGTTGTATCACATAGCACTTTTCCTTTTGAACAGAGACAAGTAATGCAGGGTTCGGGGGACCATACAGCTTTATCGTACATGATCATCCCATTAGCTGTGCAGTGCCCCTGCTTTCCTAAGAAAAAGAAATTGAAAATTAGACTTATACAGCTTAAATGGAAATAAAAACCATAGTGCTTATTAAACCTTTGGGAAGAAGCACTCCTAGTATGTTGTAATTTTGAAAATACTAAAAATATAGCCTATTCTAAGTATCTTCTCCCTTTTTTTAAAAAAAAACCCCTGTATTATCTTCAGCTAATTAGTACTCTCTAAGCTCTATTTGGTTCTCAGCCTTTCAGTTGTGAAGACGATCAAGAATTATTGTCTATATAGCTGTTACCCCGTTACAACTTCACAGTGAAAACGGAGTGCGGGTTCAATTGCTCCATCTCTCTCAGGCAGTCATCAAAACAGTTCATCTTTGCCTCTCACTAACAAACTGATGAGGACCCTTATTTCCCTTGTCTTATGAGAAAACTCTCTTGAATTATTCAAATCTGAGATTTTCTCAAAATGGGAAAATTAAATTTAGGTAGTGAGTTTCTGAGGGTCTCTTGCAGGGCAGCTGCTTTGTTCCTCTCCATGTTTAGAAATGGCAAGCAGATGTCACAGATCTCAGTGAAAGCTGCACATAGATAAGCTTGAGAAAGAAGCAAAAGTTTTCTTCTTTCAAATTAGGTTAAATGAATCATACAGAACGTGAGAATCATTTTATCTGGGCTCCATTCTGTTTCCTTTCTGTGCAAAAGGGACACCTTTTCTAATGTCTTGCGTACGAAATCAGAAAGTTTTGCTAAGGCTTTGTGGGAGTGGGATTGTGTCAATATTGACTCAGTGGTTACTGTTCATAGGCTTAATGTAAGTAAAGTCTGTTGTGCAATGGTTGATATGATGGAAAATTTCTCCTTTTTCCAATAAACTACTTTATCTGGAGAAAAAAAACACTTTGCTTTGAAAATAGTGAATTTGTACAACTTGCTTGTACTAATAAATACTTTGTCTCCAAAGGTTCTGCATGTGACTAAAAACCTCAGGGTACCAGCTGAAATGAAAGAAATGCAGAAGAGATTTGTATTAAACTATACTCAGATATTCAGCAGGCAAATTGTTTGGATAGCATGAAGACTTGAGAAGGAAACTATTCCAAGCCTCTCTTTCCTTCCAGTGGCAGAATCTATCTCAGCAAATGTTTCCTTAAGCAGTTGTCATCCTAACTCCAGGATAAATACTGCAGTTCAGCAAGACCCCTTTTGTTGTCTTTTGAGAGAGGGAAAGCCAAGGTTGAGATTCTTCATCTAGTACAGATTTTTTTCCTATTTTTGAGTGTATCCCTGAATCTGGTTAGAATCCCTAATCCCTACACATACTCCTTTTTTCTTCCAAAGTAATGTAAGAATGCATTTCTGAGGTGTTCACTTCAAACTGAAGTACCCATCTCTTAAGTTACTTTTTACTTTCTTGTGTATAAACAGAAATTTTCTTCTTTTCCTAGAAATGGCTTGACTTTCTCTTGCACTGGTGTGAAGATTGTCTAATACCATGGAAAAGATGTTATTTCAACTGAATTCACATGAAAGAGACTTTCGTTTGAGATAGGCAAATAGTCTTTGGAAGGGCTGTGTGCGCAGCTAGCTTTCCCACTCTCTGCCCTGCTTTGAGCAGGTTATTCTCTAAATATCTTTATGACTACTGTAAAATATTTGCTTTGAATAGCAGCTTGAAATGTCTGTGAAATTAATATTTTTAACTCAAAATCTGGCATTTTGCGAAGTCCTTCAGGGCAGTCCTACTCTCAGCTTCATGATGGAGGTATTCATTTGCCTTTTCACTTAACCTTTTGACGCAAGCTTTGTTTCATAGAACAGAAATTATTAGAATCATCCTGTCTGGTTGCTCCTCTATATTCCTTACATTTTAAAAGTTGCTCTTTAGATTTGAATTACTATCAGGATGGAAAGGGGGAGAAATTAAGTTTTTGAATAGTTGCACCTTATTATTTTTTCAAAGGCCTAATTAGTCCATGATATGTGTAATTTCAGCAGCATAAAGTCGTGCTCTAAACCACTCAAGCCATGTTATGAAAAGGAGGAGATGAATTAGCCAGGGCCAAATGCTATTTGGCTGTGAGTCCCTTTTCAGTCTATCCAGGTATCTATAATCCAGCTGTTTGCTGGACGCTTGTTAAGATCCTGACTTTATTTTTTGTGTGCTTGCCTGGCAGTTGCTTTTTTTTTTTTTTTTTTTTTAAACATTCTCCAAAGGAGGAAAAACCCACTACACTTTCTGATGTTAAACAATAAAATGTCAGCTGTTTTGGAGAAACATATCTGGCTTGAGATGGAAATGCTTCTGTGCTTCCTCAAATTCTTTATTTTGATTTAGCTACTAGACTGTATCTAAGCCGTTGCAAATCGTGTCTGAAGAAGGATAAAGATATGGGTTATCAGGACTTGGCCTCTGCAAACTTCTCTAACAAATTGTGCTGATCTCTATGTACCTGAGAGTTACTTAAGAGACAGCACATGGCTATTTGTGTGTGCTCAGAGAGAGACATTACCCCCTCTGTTGCGCTGCAGAATTGCTGTGTCTTGTTCCACTAGCATTCACATAACCCTAGTGGGGCAGAGAAAAGCCTGGATTGTGATCCTCCCAAAACTTGCTCTCTCTTGAATAAGATCAGTATGGTGGTATGAGCAGGGAGAAGTGAGTTTCAAGAGATACAGAAAGAGTACAACAGTGTACCTGCTATTATCCTGCTCTGCTCAATAGGCAGGCTATAGTCTATAACAGAGAAACATGACTGAAAATTATCTTATATGGTGGTAAAATGATTGATTTAATTTAGTTTAATTGGTTCACATGATTTTTATATAGAGGAAGGAAATTACTGTTGATTCCTGTTAAATCTCTATTTAAACAGATATTTTTCATCCTGCTTATGATATCTATAAATTGTTTTTCGGCTAATAACGGTAGAATAATTAGTTGGAAGAATGCAAATTAAATTCTGGATTTTGGACTGTGGGTTTTTTTTTTCACTTCTGAATCGTGATTAATAATAGTGGTCAATTATTTAATAGGTTCTGTTTTTCCAAATCTGACATTAACTTACAAAAATTTTGAACTTTATGAGCTAGACTAAAAAAATACCTTGTGGTTGAAGTCTTTGGCAGATGAGCATAGGACTTTTAACCTTTGGAAATATGGTGTAAATATAGCATTAGATTCCAAATAAAATGAGTTCAGTGGTTTTAGCTCAACTTTTGGATGCAAGTCCAGATAGAAAGAAATCAGGAGGGAGGGAAGCATGCATTATTTCAGCATGACTGATGGTCTCTGACAGAGTGGCTGGAATATCTTACATAAAGTGTATCCTATTTATGTGGTACTTTCCTCTATTTAATATAGAAATTATTTTAAAATGAAAGGTTTGACATCAGTTGTATATATTATGAGAGCAATATTGTATTACACACTAGAAATGCTATGGTCAAGAGTTCTGCTAGTTTACCCATTCAGACCAGTTACTTAAAAATATTTGGTTTGAATTGGCTCATCCTTTCTGAAAATAAGGATTCTCGACAAAGAGTAATTGTTAAGAAAATGTGACTAAGATATGTTTTGCCATTTAAATTGAAACCTATTCACCTGGTGGTCGTGTCCATCCTGTGACGTTAAAAAGCTTAAGATAATAAACTAAAGCTGTTTGCTTACAAAATTACACAATTATCATATCATGTAGAAAAGTGGTAGTACTTTCTTATTTTGTTCATAACATTCATAAAATTGCATATGATATTTTTATTTAGTGTGTGATCTTTGCAGTGCTGGAATCAAAGCATCTATGCTGTTACAACTATTATCTATAGGGCAGACGGGACCCTGTATTGGCCTTTCACAACATCCCAGTATCTCTTCTTTGACCTTTTAATTTTTTTTCCATGAAAATAAATGAAGTGTTACAATATCTCAACAATTTTTCAAGCGGTTAGTAACTGTGTTTTTGAAATTCAAAAATACTGAAAGTAGTATTCAGAATTTCTTGTCTTCAGGATGTATGCCTGGTTTTGAGACTCTTGTGAGTCTTTTTTTTTTTTTTTTCATTTGAGAGTCCTAATTTCCCATTTAGGGAAATCACAAGGGTCCTAGGGCAAGAGTTCTCTCTTTCTTTATAGCACAAAGAACCAAAGAGATGCTTATCTATCAGTTTTCAGTCCCTTTCTGGTCTTGCATTCTTTGAGAAAACTATAGAGTCCTCTTATGATTACTGCAGCAGGTTTCAGTAAAGACTAAGTGAAATAGTACTTTTGTTTGTTTGTTTCTTAAGATACCAAATCCTCTCCCCCTTGCATTTCCTTCCAAAAGTTAAAATACGTTTTAGTACAGTGATGTGAAAACCTCTAGATCTCTGCAAAGACAAGTTTTATATAAGTCATGTTGTTAAACTTCTTTCAAACAGCTCCAGGGTCTATAAATAGATGGCGAATAGAGTGATCTTGTGTTGAATGTATGAATGTGTAAAAACACATTAGCCTAGTTTTTCCATTGTTAGCGTATCTTAAGGAAAGGGTCTTGTTTTTAATGCGAGTTTCATGCTGTAGCTATTATTGTGTGACATGGATTTATTAAAAATAATGACTTATTCCCAAAAGATTGCATATAGTCTCGATGTTACTTTTTAAAAATATGACAGAAATTTAGCAACTTGAATGCCACTGATTCATTGATGTTAGAACTTCAGTGAAATGCTATTAATTGACTTAGCAGATAATACTGAGAAACCAGTTCTTAAAATTGGCCTTCAAACTGGCTGGACATTTGAAATTATGTAAATACTACCCCAGCAAAATTTTTGTTAGATATAATAAAATGAGAATGTGGAAAAATTGCAGAACGTATTAGTTCCAGGGCAAAGTTAGATTCTCTGTAATACTTACCTGGTAAGACACTGTAACTAGATTCATGTCCACCCAAACCTATGAGAGAGTCAAATACTCCCATAACACCATCATCAATATTAATGAGAGGTATACTAGGTATTACAGTAACAGGAGCTGGAGGCTTCATCCTTGGCTGTCTCTGAGACCTGCGTCCTTCTGAGGAGCTCTTTCTTAATCCTCTGTAGTGCATTCTTCTCCTTTGCCTCCTAAGAGTTGCACTGGTTTCGTTTTGAAAAAAATCAACGCATAGAGAGACAAGCAGGAAATAATAGATGGAAGATGTAGCCTGCATGTTTTTGTGTCTCTCAAAAAGTGTCCTGGAAGAGGAAAAGAGGAGGAAATTAGATATCTAGACAGCTTTTTATATCATGTCAATCATGTAGTGCACTTTCTAAAGCAGGTGGACCAATATATTACTATATATAGCTGTTTGGAATCTGGTTTGAACTTGTTTAAAACCAGTTCAAAACCGATGAGTGTAACAAGTTTTTTCTCTTGGAAAAAATTTACCTTATGAGAGCTCACCAAACAATTCTAGTTCTGTGGATCTCCTCACCTAAGCACAATAGCCAACTATCCAATACCTCTGGATAGAAGGATATTTTATTATATCAGCTAGCCACTGAATAAGTCAAATTGAATTTAGGAGTTTGTTTTCCAGTCCAAATTAGCTGTGCATCAAAAGAGGGACTAGCTGGGGTTATGTTTAAACAGGTAGTGTAGGCTGTGCCATTAGATAATTGCAGTTTAGTAATTGGTATTGCTTCCAGCAAGGGAGTTCCTGAGAGCTCTAAAGTTTCTTCCTTTTTGCGATTACTAATGCTTCTTCCAGGTTGCCATAACTTCTGAACATGGAAACAGCAAAGTATCAGAAAAATGGATAATCTGTTTCCAGTTGTTCTGCCCCAAATCCTCTGGCTTATCATTTGTATGTAAGGTGTTTTTCACTGAAGATGAAAAGAGATGTTACTTTTGCTCCTAGATTAGCCATCCGCATGTTTAACAGAATTGTGTTAGTTTTGTCTGGGAGTTTGACTGGAATAGCGCTCTTTGTGCTGTACTGTGTCCCTGCTTCTAGTGGAAGTTTTTAAGTGTAGGTAATCTAAAAATGTTGATCTATAATGGGTTGTGTTCTACGTTTACTTTCTAAAAGATTCAAAATTACTATGTATCTTGAGCTTCTTATGCCTCTGACAGAAAAATTACATTTCCTGTCACCAATAGATGGCATTCCAAAAGAGAGCAGTCAGGATGCAGGAGTGTGCGCAGAAGGCTGTGCCAGGGCCCAGACTAGGCTGTGCATGTCCGAAGCTATTGAAGATTTGTCATAGTTCTGTTGGCATAGTTACGTCAAAACGAAGCTATGACAGGCATTTTAATCTCTTCTGTCCTGCAGCCTGTTTATTTTAATTTGAGATTGCAGGGATTGAAGATACCAGTATTCTTGTGATGTCGAGAAATAGCTTTCACTGATGAGAACTTGATACTTGGAGCACTTCATCTTTGCGTCCAAGCTTAGGCTTAGAGTATGTCCATGGCTTTTCCTCTAAGGAAGTCTTAAGGGAATGCAAGACTGTTTTTCCTTAATATTTGTCAGCCAGGCTTTCACTTCCGAGTTAGTCTTCTATGCTTACTTACGTTGTATAAATACAGTATAGAATTACTTTAGGGACTAAAACTATGTTATTGCCTAAACCAAATTTCTAAAAAATTTATGCACCTTGATATTTTATGATTTATATAATAGGTCAAGTTTTTAGTACAAGTTGCCAAATTTTCCTCTAACATAAGGCATGTGATTGATTCTATGTTTTTCATGCTTCCCAGAGCATAATTCTTTTTTTTTTAAATAAGCTTAAAAAAAATTTCACTTTTCCCTAATGTTATGGTTTCTCTGTTTAACTATTTTAATTTTAAAATATTTGAGCAAATATATACTCATTTTCAGAATTTTGTTCACCTAAGCTATTATTTTTATTCCCATTTAAAGATAAATTTGAGATAGCTAGTGTCTTGCACAAATTCATGTAATGTCTCAAGTAATAGTAAGAGTTGTGAAAATAATCCAGAATTTAGTATATGCAGATCCCTTTTTACCCATTAGATAGACATTATTCCAAAATGCTGTATAAACTTTATGCTGTTGTTTTATTTACAGAAATTGAGGTTAGATAGATGCAGGAGCTTCCGCATTGATGATGTTTTTTCTTTTCCAGAAAGTGCTCATTTCTTAGTACCTCATCTTGCAGGAAGAATGACCCAATATTTTTAGTTTCTAACTTACTTACATAGTAATGACTAACTACAAAAATTGCACGGTAAACTTCTGTTCCGTATGCTGTAATGAAACGTGCAGAGAGGCTGCAGGGAGACCTGGATGCATAAAGAAAAGTCTTGAACATGTGTATTTGTTCTGTTAAGCTAGGGACAACTTAATTATGGTTACATTTTTATGGTACACTTTGTAATGCTGTGACTGCAATATCTAAACGACTCCTAAATTACATGGTGGGTTTTTTGTTTCTTTTAGCATTTAACCATTTGCTCCTGTCATCAGAGGCATAACACTATGGCTGAAATACTTTTGCATTCTTTAGGCATGTATTTTTAAAAGGCAGGAAAAATATAGTATGAATTACATTATATTTGCTTTCCAACCAAGCCTCAGTGTTTTGCTATTAACTTAATAGAAAAAAAGTAAAACCCTTGCAAATCCAGGTATTGTAATGCAGAACTTGTTTTCATAAAATATGTTAGACTTACAAATATAGAAAAACAAAAAACACCCTCCCTAAAAAGAATGTGTCTTTATGAACTAAACATATTCACCTATGTGAGTTTATATGCTATATTTTCACACCAAGTGTATTAAGTCTTAAGGACTGAAAGCTTAATACTGCTGCTTTCCTCCAAATGGAGTTCTTTGCACAAAATACTGAGATACTTTTCCAAGTTTCTTTTCTTGGCTTATTTAATCAGTGGTGGCTCACCTTTTAAGGCCCAAATCATAAATATCTTGCAAGAAAAAGGCCTTATATGCATTGGGCCTTTTGTGTGCCCATGACTAGAATCCTCAGATTAGCTATCAAGAAGCTACTATATTTGGTATGGTGCCAGTCAACTTTTAAATCTGGGCAAATTCAAGCTATTTGACCTCAAGACTTGTAATAAATTATTCTCTATCATAATAAAACTATAGGTTGCTAGTATATTGAAATTATTATATTGTCAGATTATGTTGCCAGATATTCTCAACTTGACTGCATTGCTATACCTTTTTTTTTTAAATTTTACACGTAAATGTTTAGAACATGCAAAATATGCAGCAGCATCCTTAATAACTTCTACTTTAATCATGTCTTGTGTTCATTAGTTTGTAATTTTCATGATGTTCGTCTCCACTGTCAGTGGATGCAGTTCAGTATCTGTCATTTTGCTATTATGTTAATGGAAATAGTTGATTTTTAAAGCAGTGATCCTTTAAAAATACCCAGAACCTCAGAATTTATTAAATAATCTCTCTCTATTCAGTCTAAATATAAATATCTTTAAGATGTCAAGGTTCTTTCTCATGATACACAGGGGTTAAAGTGATTTATCAAGATTCTCACATACTCTTCTTTAAATTGATTGCATAGAAATGAGTTACATATAGCCATACCAGCAAAATAATTGCACTTTCAGTTAGTTTAAGCTTGAAGTGTGTGGCAAACATTCATACCAAACAAAAAGCAGATCAACTGGTACTGCATACTTTCTTTAGAAAAGCATTTATGTTCAGTATTGCTAAATATAGCTAATATTACTTCATACATATTTGCAAAGTATCAAACGTTCACCATTAACATGTAGTTTAAGCCATTCAACCCCATGCTTTAAGCAGTAATTTAAAATTCAAAACATATTTTACCTTGTAATCTAACCTAACAGCAGATTCTGCTTGGTGTCATTTAGTCTCCAGTTGCAAATGAAACAAAATCACACTGATATCTTTAAAACAAGCAGAGAAACAGTAGGGGTTGTTGAAACATGCTAGCTGATTCCTTAGTTAAGTCTGAAAAAGCTTCTTTCCCTGGGGACAAAGCGCTGTTCTGTTCTGTGTGCAGAGAATCAGCTAATTCTGCTGCTCAGAGAACTAAAAACCTCGCCGAAGGAGAATGAGAAGCAGCACAATGTGGTCGGTCCGTAGGCTGACAAGGCACAGCTGGAAATTCTCTTCCAGTGCTTACAGCTGCGTAAGGAGCAAGAAAATGGACTGTTTTCAAAAGACCTCAAAAACATGTGTTTTTTTCCAATTCTGTTTTCCATACTTAGAAGTCAGTGTCCAGGTGGCATGTTTTTATGCAGATTTATTATTTTACAGAGATAACATATTTTGGCAAGCATAAGCTTAACATAAACATTTTTGTTAAAATGGGAACATTTTTTTGAATTCATATTTTCTTAATCCACTTATGCATATATATTCTATAATCTATAAGAAACAAACCTTTTTACTGACATTTTAGGAGGGAAAGCTTTTTTGGTTTTGTTTTTTTTATGTTTTTGTCTATTTACAGCAATGATTTCACCATAACTTGTAGCTTATGCATGGAAAATAAAATCACTGAGGCATTTGCCCTTCGTTTTTTGTAAGGGTAATTACATACTGAAACACGATACTGAAACGCAGCTCTCCAGAAGCTGCAGTGAGGTTAGTAATCCAAGTATGAGAAGTGAGTGTGGGGGGAAGGCAGGGGGGGAGTCATGGTACCTTACCACAAGTCCTTTGTGTGCCTTTTCGTTCATCCTCAGGCAGAGTTTCTGTAGAGTCTCATAGTTTGGTGAGGTGGTGAGTCTGCTGGGTTTGAAATGGCAAATTTACCTGGTAGATGGAGTTGTCTGAGTTCTTCTGACGTTTAAAATTTGTTGTTGGCTTGACTTCGCACTCTAAGGACTGTTTAGGCAGATGGTTATGGAATGTATAACCACCGAGTTGACCATAATTGTTGGCTCGTACGTGGTGGAAAGATACTGGGAAAACACATTGTCTCTTACAATAGCTATTCAGTTTCTATTGTACTTTGCTTTGCAAAATCAAGGATAGAAATATTAACTTTTTGCAGGGTATCTGGAGCTGTTTAAAAAGGAGGGAGATGGTTATACTTAAAAAATGGAGCTTGTATCTGGAATGAGATAGGACAGTTCAGTACCTTTGATAAAGGATTTGATTTGTAAAGAGGAAAGTGAGTCAAACAATAGGACAACAGTTATTCTAGTGCAAGTGGAAGGAAGAATAGTATATTACACTTTTTCCCTGGTTATGTCTGTCAGGTAAGAGACTTCATGTACTTAAATTATGGCGTATCTATTAGAGACAAAAGTGATGGATAGGATTCGCTTCACTGTATCTTTCAGTACTGCTTTTCATGCTTCTGATCACTGTCTCAGGATCATCTTCAGTGTTTAGGCACGTGCCTCTAGGAAGCCTGTCTGGATGGACCACAGAATTGCATAATAGGCCAATAGGGTGGATCTGGCCAGTCTTTGCTGATAAGCAGCTTTGTTTACTGCATCTTTGCTGCATATGGTTATCTCTGATCTCTGAATTCTAGCAAATCCTTAAAGCTGAACTTAAAAATTTAGGTTATGTTATCTCTATTTTTTTGAAAGGCCAACAGCTTCTAGTGGCTTTCCAGAAAACAGTGGGACACTGTCTTACCTCACCACCTGCTAGACCGTGCTATAAACATCTGATATCCTCTAAGCAGATTGAAGGCTCTTTTGTAGAGTTATTGAATCCCATTATATAGACATCTCTAAAAACAAATATTCTGGCATGAACAATGAAGCACAAAAGCTTGCTAATGTTAAGAACCTGAGGTGATCTAAACCAAGAAATAACCTAATTTATTATTGCTCTTCATCCCTGTAGTTATCTGACAAAACAGTGTGGCTTTGTGATCGTAGTAGTTGCTGCTGTTAGTGTGAAACAGAGTGCCTACGAGGCACTTGCTTATCTTTTTCTCAACTTTTTGTTAAGGAAGAGGTAATAGAGAAGATCTGAGGGATCTGAAAAAGGCATAGTTCCCTCTTTGTGAAAATGATATTATGCTTTTCTGCAGTTCTTTGTTTGTTTGTTTGGGGTGGGGTGCTTTTGTTAATTTGTTTTTTTACCTTGCAAAGTCACTATGTGAAAATGGTCTGATGTTTTTTTCAAATAAGATTTAAAAATATGTAATGTGAATAATGAAATGTTGTTTTGATACTAGTATTTACATTAAATTCTTTCATGAAAGCTTGCGAAATACTGAGTAGTCAGCAAAAGCTCAGACTAGAGTGGCCTTTGTAAATGACTTCAGACCTGCGCTGTCAAGGTAATTGCTGTTTCAGTAAAAGGCATTATGTTGTCTTCAGGCATCTAATATTTACTGTGTTTATGTGAATAATTCACTCAGGGAGAGTGAGCTGCCAGCATCAGCTTCATTTGTAGGTACCATTGTGCATACCAAGCCCCTGTGCATGTCTAGTCATTTGCATGAGTTACGTAATGTGCACATTATTGCCATTAAGATCTCTTAGTGTGGAATTGTCTCCTTTGAGGAGTGAAGAGTAACCAGCAGTGATTAATAATTGAAAAAAATGTTACTATTTTATAGAATGGCAAACTGCCCCTAGAGCACTGTTGCTTAATATATTGAGCAAAGACACAGGATGTGTGAAATTAATGTGGAAGTCGGAAGCGCCAGGCATTAATTCTTCACAAAATCTCTGCTGACCTCTTTAGCTTACCGTCTTCCTTGGCTGAAATTATCTAGTGGAAATTATTCAAGGAAACCTTCTTTAGTGAAAAAGAGGGGTTAGATTTTAGGTTGGCAATAGGTGGTGACAACAGATTTCTGTAACACCTGTTACTGTACCTATTTGATGATGGCCATCATCAATGGCAGAAATAGGCTTTTAAGAAATTTGATACAGTTTAAATGCATTTATTTCTTCTATTCCTACCTGAAAATACATTCTTTTCAAACGCTATTTCAGAGCTCACTTCAGTAAACATGAAAGAGCCCATGAGTTAAAGCAGCAAAATTCCGGGACCCCTAAACTAGTATGGAGGATTTTTTTCAAAATTTTGTGTATTTCTAGTAATTATAACTGGTTGATTGTTTCTGCTCGAGTTTCTGATCTGATGACAAATTAACTAATAAGATAAAGAATTAGAATCTTTTAAAAACTAAAAAGTAGGGAGTTTATAAGTGCAAATGTACTTTTTAGGCTATCCATATAATATGGATATCGCTTAACTCCATATTGTAAAGCAGCCTGGTTATGGCAGTAGGCAACAGCAAGTAGGATAATTTCTTCTGCTATCCCAACAAAACTAATTCATCTCAGTGTGTAGTGTAACTATAGTCTTTTGTAACAAAAAGTTGGACTGTTTAAGTATCCAGTGGTCTTGGTGCTGAATGGTGATAATGTATATATTTAACATCTTTCCACAAAGGTTTAGTTTTGGAACTGTATGTAACATCGGTATTGCTCTGCATCTATATATTTGCAGTCATTTTCTCAGACAGTGATTTTAGATTAGACTTGTGGATTTTGTGACATCTACTCCTATACCATGGTGGAATACAGGAACGTTTATTAACTAGAGAATAACGTTTTGTGATTTTACAGGATTACTTTCAAAGTGGGAGTTCTCCCCATGGTTTTCTTCATCCTTCAAGCATAGGTTTTACATTGTTTCTCCAGAACATCAAATTCTTCTTTTTTTTTTTTTCCTCCATTTTCCTGGAGGCAACAGTGGCCTTTCTTCCTTCCCCACCAAGGAGAAATATTAGTGAACATACAATTGTACTGTTCCTATTTTTGTTTTTATCAGTTATGCTTCTTCATACAGACACAAACGATGGGAGGAAAAGCTACTATGTTCACTAGTGTGGCTCTGCTCTATATCTCAGGGAGGTAGTAGAATTAATATAGGAATTAATACAGTAGAATGCGTGGTGTTTAAAATAAAAAAGGCTTATACATTTTCAAAATCTGTCTGAAAAGCCACTGAACTACGCAGATTATCTTGAAATGGAGAAGGAACAGCATCCATTTCTTAATCCTGTTGAAAATGCTTGAAGTATAATACCTTGGGAATTATAGGAGCCCAGCAGGTCAACAGAATATGAGAAGAAGGAGATCTTAAAAACAGGAATTGTTCAGAACAGTTAAGAAATCAAGAGTCAGGAACTGGTGAATGTAAGAGTGGAAATTTAAGAGATGATATATGAGTATAGAAAGGGGAACTGAGTTAACGCTTTATGATTGCAGCTTATAGTGAACATCAAACCTCAGTTGCACATCATACCTTTAAAAAATTTAATTTTTTTTCTGTATAATGACCAAAGAGTATACATGAATAGAGCAAGAATAGACTTCATTAGGACAATTCAATGCCGGGTGTAACCTAACTGAAGTCGTCATAGTCACAGGAAAGTATGCGTTTATTTTAGATAGGCTATAACTTAGTAGTGCTTAAGTTAACTTAATATCAAGTTACATATGAGTTACATTTTTGTGTGTGCGGGTAATTTATAGAATAATTCATGTTTGAAGAGACTTCAGGAGGTCATCTAGTCCAACCTGCTGCTCAAAGCAGGGTGAAGATTGAATTCAGACCATGTTGCTTAAGCCTTTGTCCATTTAGATTTTAAAACTGGGACAGAGTTTACACAGACTCTCTTGGCAGCTGATTCCAATGCTTGACTCTCTTCATAGAGAAAATGTTTTTTCGCATGTGTTTTGTCCTTTTGCTGTGCACCTCCCTAAAGAGCCTGACTTGGTATTCTCAATTGCCCCCCCCCCCCCCCCCCTTAGGTATTGCAAGGCTACTCTTAGACTCTCTCTAGGCCATCTTTTCTCCAGACTAAACAAATCTCTTCTTTCAATTAATAATCAGCAAACCTCAAGAAATTTGGAAGTGATTCAGAAGAGTATATTGCATGCTTGGTTATAAAATATGGTTAGAGATGGCATTAAAATAGGCTTTTCAAAAAAAAATCCAAGTGCTGCTTGAAATGATATACTTTCATGATGTATATAATTTCTGATTCTCGTGATCCACGTGTTTTAAACAAGATTAGAAAATGGGTGGTGTTTTGTCACACTGACTTTGTT